GAAAAGGAAAGAGGAGGGGGGATGAGAAGAAAAATGGACAAGAAGAAGAAGGGAAGAGAAGAAGGGGGAAGAGAAGGAATAGGGAAGAGAAGAAAGAGGGAAGGGAAGAAGGGGGAAGAGAGGAAGAAGGGAAGAGAAGAAATAGGGAAGAGAAGAAAGAGGGACGAGAAGAAGGGGGAAGAGAGGAAGAAGGGATGAGAGGAAGGAGGAAAGAGAAGAAGGGGGAAGATGAGGAAGTGGTGGAAAATAGTAAGAGAAATTATCACCTGATTTGCTGTAGTAAAATTTTCGACGGTCACATGACAAATGATTAATTGTGATCACATCACAGTACACAAGACGTGTAGTGTGTGTACAACGTCGGTGTGACGTGATGTGTGAGTCATGCAGCATGATGAGTATGATGTTATACATAGAATATCATGTATAAAATTGAATCTAGTCAACGGAATATGAGGTAGATAATATCACGAATAGAATATTATGAATTGAATATGATGAATTAAATATTATAAATTGAATATGATGAATTCAATATTATGAATTGAATATTATGAATTGATTATGATTAATTAAATATTATAAATTGAATACTATGAATTGAATATGATGAATTAAATATTATGAATAAAAGATTTTGAATTATATTTTATGAATAGCAGATTATGAATTAAATATGACGAACTGAATATGATGAATAGAATTTCACGATAGAAGATAATGATTTGATTAGGATGAATTGAATAATACGATTAGAAGATTATAAATTGAATATGATGAAGTGAATATTTCGAATAGAAAATTATGAAATGAATATTATGAATAGAAGATTATGAATTGAATTTTATGATTTGAATATTATGAAGATAATATTAAGAATTGAATATGATAAATGAATATGACGAGTAGAATATGAAAGATTGAGTAAGAAGCATAAAGGGTAGGTTTGTGTGATGAACAATTATGTTTTTTTTTAGTAATAACAGATGTCATTAATTATTATAATATATAAAATATCATTTATAAAATATGTTTATAATTAGCAGGGGTTGATGAGTTTAAGACACTAATAAAAAAATAATTTCCGATTAACATACAAGAGGAAGCTTCTAAAGCACCGGAGTATATAAGCTAAGGAGAGGTGTTATTTAACATAATAAATAAAATATAATTCATATAATAAATTTGTAATTAGCAGGGTGTAATGAGTTTAAGTTAATAATAAGAATAATAAAATAATTTATGAACAATATACAAAATGAAGCTGATAAAGCACCGGAGTATATAAGCTAAAAGAAATTAAATGCCTCGGTCTGGGCGCGATGTAGCCAGCGTTGGGGGAGGGGGAGGGGGTGTAGGGTCTGCGGGAGTGATAGAGTGGGGGAGTTTTGGGGGTCTCATCAGGGCTCATTAGCAAGACGGGAGGCCTGGGCTTAATTCAAGCGAGCAAAACAGTGAGCCGCTGTCGGGTGTAAGAGGCGGACCGCGGGGCTACACTCCGTGGCCCGCGTGCGCGTGTAATTATACTCCTAATTGGCGTGTACGGGGGCGTTAATTAACGCTTATTAGTGTGCATTAATTAATGCGTATTAGTGCGCGTTAATTACCGTGCACGGGTGCGTTAATTAGCGTGTACTAGTGGGCGTTAATTAGCGTATTAGTGTGCGTTAATTAACGCGTGCTAGTGCGTTAATTAACGTGTACTAGTGTGCGTTAATTAGCGTGCGCTAATTAACATGTACTAGTACGTTAATTAACGCGTATTAGTGCGTTAATTAGCGTGTACTGGTGCGTTAATTAGCGTTTACGGGCGCGTTAATTAACGTATCAATGTGCGTTAATTAGCGTGTACGGGTGCGTTAATTAATGCATAATAGTACGTTGATTAACGTGTACTAGTGTGCGCTAATTAGCGCATACAAGAAAGTTAATTATCGTTGATCAATGCGTAGAAATGCGTTAATTAACGCGCACAAGCGCGTTAATTACCGTGTAGGAGCGCATTAATTAGTGTTGATTAACGTGCACAATTGCGTTAATTAGTGCTAATTAACACTAATTAATTAACACTTGACTTACGCACGGTTATAGGACACTGAATGAAACATTCATATTGTATCCCAACACAAACACATTACTAATTAACTAATTACTAATTAACACACCGCACTAATTGCTGATTTTGAGACGCTCAAGCACGTCTAAAATACACTGACACACCACAAAAATTTCTACACACCACCACTATACACCATCACTACACTCCATCACTACACACCATCACTACAAACCATCACTACACACCATCACTACACACCATCACTACACTCCATCACTACACACCATCACTACACACCACCACTACACACCATCACTACACACCATCACTACACACCATCACTACACACCATCACTACACACCATCACTACACACCATCACTACACACCATCACTAAACACCATCACTACACACCATCACTACACACCATCACTACACACCATCACTACACACCAAAGATCAATCACTACACTACTGCATCAATCACATGATGTTCACACGCAATACAACACATCACACGCCATACAGCACATTACACGCTATACAGCACATCACACGCCATACAACACATCACACGCCATACAGCACATCACACGCCATACAGCACATCACACGCCATACAGCACATCACACGAACACACAACACGTTCACAACACACAACACGTTCACAACACACAACACGTTCACAACACACAACACGTTCACAACACACAACACGTTCACAACACATTTCAATTCAGTTAATACCGACGCTTAATTTGATAACATTAATATAGAAAGCTTGTTATCTTACTTAAATGTCTACTTAAAGTGGAAAATAGCAGCGAGAAGTTAGTTGACCTGAGTTAATATCTAATTAAAGTTGATAACATTTATGAGAAAAACTTGTTGAATGTAGCAGATATGCAATTAAATTAAAAAAATACACTAATGAGAAAACTTTGCTGCCTTAAGTAGGTATAATATAATTAAATATAATTAAATGGTGTGTTATGAATTGTGCAGAGTGAATATCATCGATGGTGATGTCAGGCTGCCAGTGTATTAATCTCATAATGATCAATGGTCGCCACTATCATCGGTCACAACAAAGTGATGATGTAAAAGATGATGCCATACGAACATCATTACAACATTTAGCTCTAACGCTAATGCCAGTAAAAAATAAATTCAACAATGATATTTCATGAAAATTTTAAGAAATTCAATGTGAAATGATATGCAGTGATATGCAGTGATATGCAGTAACATGCAATGATATGCAATGATATGCAGCGATATTCAATTATATATAATCAGTGATACTCAATGATATGCGTACGATATGCAGTGATATTCAGTGAAATGCACTGATAAGCAATGATATGCAATGATATGCAGTTATATGCAGTGATATTCAGAGATATATTATGATTATGCAATGATATGAGTTATATTCAGTGAAATGCAATGATAAGCAATGATATGCAGCTATATGCAGCTATATGCAGTGATATTCAGAGATATACTATGATATGCAGTGATATGCAGTGAGATGCAATGAGTGTTGAAATAGAATAATTCGATTATGTTCAACTCGTGAGATGAACGTCACTGTTGTGTTCAACTCCTGAGTTCAACGTCACTGCTGTGTTCAACTTTTGAGTTCAACGTCACTGCTGTGTTCAACTTTTGAGTTCAACGTCACTGCTGTGTTCAACTTTTGAGTTCAACGTCACTGCTGTGTTCAACTTTTGAGTTCAACGTCACTGCTGTGTTCAACTTTTGAGTTCAACGTCACTGCTGTGTTCAACTTTTGAGTTCAACGTCACTGCTGTGTTCAACTTTTGAGTTCAACGTCACTGCTGTGTTCAACTTTTGAGTTCAACGTCACTGCTGTGTTCAACTTTTGAGTTCAACGTCACTGCTGTGTTCAACTTTTGAGTTCAACGTCACTGCTGTGTTCAACTTTTGAGTTCAACGTCACTGCTGTGTTCAACTTTTGAGTTCAACGTCACTGCTGTGTTCAACTTTTGAGTTCAACGTCACTGCTGTGTTCAACTTTTGAGTTCAACGTCACTGCTGTGTTCAACTTTTGAGTTCAACGTCACTGCTGTGTTCAACTTTTGAGTTCAACGTCACTGCTGTGTTCAACTTTTGAGTTCAACGTCACTGCTGTGTTCAACTTTTGAGTTCAACGTCACTGCTGTGTTCAACTTTTGAGTTCAACGTCACTGCTGTGTTCAACTTTTGAGTTCAACGTCACTGCTGTGTTCAACTTTTGAGTTCAACGTCACTGCTGTGTTCAACTTTTGAGTTCAACGTCACTGCTGTGTTCAACTTTTGAGTTCAACGTCACTGCTGTGTTCAACTTTTGAGTTCAACGTCACTGCTGTGTTCAACTTTTGAGTTCAACGTCACTGCTGTGTTCAACTTTTGAGTTCAACGTCACTGCTGTGTTCAACTTTTGAGTTCAACGTCACTGCTGTGTTCAACTTTTGAGTTCAACGTCACTGCTGTGTTCAACTTTTGAGTTCAACGTCACTGCTGTGTTCAACTTTTGAGTTCAACGTCACTGCTGTGTTCAACTTTTGAGTTCAACGTCACTGCTGTGTTCAACTTTTGAGTTCAACGTCACTGCTGTGTTCAACTTTTGAGTTCAACGTCACTGCTGTGTTCAACTTTTGAGTTCAACGTCACTGCTGTGTTCAACTTTTGAGTTCAACGTCACTGCTGTGTTCAACTTTTGAGTTCAACGTCACTGCTGTGTTCAACTTTTGAGTTCAACGTCACTGCTGTGTTCAACTTTTGAGTTCAACGTCACTGCTGTGTTCAACTTTTGAGTTCAACGTCACTGCTGTGTTCAACTTTTGAGTTCAACGTCACTGCTGTGTTCAACTTTTGAGTTCAACGTCACTGCTGTGTTCAANTGGAGCATGCGAGCAAAATAAGGTGTGGGGATTAGGAAGCATACGAGAAAAATTGGAGCAATGGAGTGGAGTGTAAGGAGGAGAAGAGGGAAAGGGGATAGCAAGTGAAGTAGGGGAAGAAAAAGGAGCAGGGGAAGTGGGAGAGTGGAGTGGAGGTAGGAGTAGGGAGAGTAGGGGGAAACAGGGGGAGTAGAGGAGGCAAAGAGAACAAGGAGAGTGAGGGAGTAAAATGGAGGTGTGAGCTGGAGGAGTAGGGGAAGTAGGGGGAGTAAGGAGAAGAAGGGGGAGTAGGAGGAGTAGGGGGAAGTAGGGGGAGTAGGTAAGTAGGAAGAGCATGGGGAACAGAAGGAGCAGAAGGGCAAGGTACGAACAGGGGGAACAGGATGAGCAAAAGGAAAGGGGAGGAATAGGGTGAAGCAGGGGGAGCAGGGGGAGCGGGGGAAGTAAGAGTGGGGAGAGCAGAGGGAGCAGAGGGGGAGCTCATATCCCCAGCAGAACAAAGGCATTACCAGCGGACGGAAAAATAATGCATCCGCCCACAGCTGCTGCTGTTGCTGCTGTTGCTGCTGTTGCTGTTACTGCTGCTGTTGCTGTTACTGCTGCTGCTGTTGCTGCTGTTGCTGCTGCTGGTGCTGCTGCTGGTGCTGTTACTGCTGCTGGTGCTGTTGCTGCTGCTGCGCTGTTGCTGCTTTAGCTGCTGCTGGTGCTGATGCTGGTGCTGTTACTGCTGCTGGTGCTGTTGTTACTGTTGCTCTTGCCGCTGCTGTTGCTGTTATCGTTGTTATTAATGCTGTTGTTACTGCTGTCAGTGATGCTGCTGCATTGTTACTGTTAATGCTGTTATTTTTTTTGTTACTGTTTCTGCTGTTACTCCTGCTGCTGCTGCTGAGCTCAGCAATATTTTGTCGAGTCGTGTCGAAGTTTTATTTCATTTTAGGTCCGCGCTTCTTGGAAGTGAACAGCCAAAGATAAAGAACTGTTAGAAAAAAACTGCCTGAAATGCAAAGGAGTTCAGAAAATATTGTTATACGAACTAAAATGAAAATTTTCTTGCAATCAGTTTGATATTTTATTCGAAAGAGATTAATTAGAAAGTTTGAAAATAATTATATTGAATGTATTTCTTACGTTGGGAAACAACGATACCAAGAAAGTCTGCGGTATTTACTGCCAGGATTTAAATAACTCATACATCAGAAACTGAGGGTAGATACAATCGTTAATGAGGAAGTTTTTAGGTTTTATTTCTTTATTAAATTATTATTTTATTACATCGCATATCTTTATGATATTCAAGCCTTAGATATCATGTTTTTTCGTTCTTGTGTTACTATTTGTGTTTCTGTATAGTTAGCAAGTTTTAAATTTATTTTTTCACCTTTTGAAACAAAATTTAGCTAAAATTAACTGGAAATTAAAGCAATGGTAATTAAAGTAATGACTTCGAGGCACCGACAACCGCGGCGTTAAAGCTGGATAATTGAGATATTAATGAATTATCATTAATTAGGGATTATCAATTGACTAATATGAGCAAATTATAATTAATTTGATCATTTTGATTATTATCATTTGATTGATATTTTGATTATTATCATTTGACCATTAACTGTGTTTGATGAATTTTTATTGATGAGCTGTAATTAGTAGCTAATGAGGAAGGCAAGCTAAATGTAATTTTCGGAAAATATTAGTATCATAAAATAATATTTTTATATAATATAATTTTATAAAACATACTTTTTGCAAAGTATTATTTTTCAAATGCAATTTTTACATAAAATAATTTTTTAAATATAATTTTGCAAAATATTATTTAAAGAAAATATCAGGTTGAGAGATGAACTTAGGAAGGGGCGAAAGGAAATTTGAGGTGAAAACGGTGAGAAAGTGAACAGCGGCTTAGGATGTAAATTGAAAGCGGTAGTGATAAAAAGAAAGGTGAATAATGTTTGATGGAAGTGGTGGAAAAGGCAAAGAAGTGACGAAATGTAATGAAAAAATTGCAGTTTGGAGAAGGGGGAGGTGGTGGTGAAGGCAGTGGGGAAAATTTTTTGGGGAGAGGATGAAAGGGGGAGGGGGGTATTAAGAGAAGGGGGGATGAAGGGGGAGGCTGATGAAGGGAGTCATTTAAAGCTGGCCGCTTGGAGCAGAGTTACGTGCTAGCCTCTCCCTCTCTTCCTCTCCTCATTTACCTCTCTTCTGCACTCTATTAATTACACTTGTTCTTATTGCTTGCCCATCTTCATATTCCTAGATTCCAAAAAAATCATATTCCTAGACTCCATATAATCATATTCCTATATTCATATAATCATAATCCTAGATTCCATATAATCTGATTCCTAGATTCCATATAATAATTTTCCTAGATTCCATATAATCATTTTCCTAGATTTCATATAATCACATTCCTAGATTTCATATAATCATATTCATATATTCCATATAATCATTATCCTCGATTCCATATAATCATTTTCCAAGATTTCATATAATTATATTCCTTGATTCCAATTTCCAGCCTTTTCATTTCCTCTCACAATTAACAGGTGAATTGCAATATTTTCCTTATCGGGATTGCCTTTACATGCATTTTCCGTTCAATCACTATTTTGTTCTCGCATTTTGCGTTTGTAGACTTCCGACTCTCTATTACTGCATTATTAAAAAATTGATTTCCTTTTTTCCCCACCACTTTATTTTCCCCGTAAGTAATTCGTATTCATTCTGATTTCATCCGCCTTACTTAATTTGATTTTTCGATATCTTTTTGATTCATTTTCCTGAATAGTTGCTTACATTTTGAAGAATTTATTTAATTTTTTAGAAAATTTCCTTATTTTTCATGCCGGAAATGATACCCGCAATAAATATATCAATGATCACGCTATAAAATGATAGATCACGTTATGAATAAATAAATGATCACGCTATTAAACAGATGTGGCTGTGATACGGAACGTAGAGACTGCTCTATGGCTATACATGCACTCTTCATCTAAACATCTGCATCAGCTGTACCTAAGCCTTACAGCTGCAGCTAATCCTTACAGCTGCAGCTAAACCCTTCAGCTGCAGCTAAGCCTTACAGCTGCAGCTAAGCCTTACAGCTGCAGAATATTACAAGAACTGCCAGGACTGCCAGGATATTACAAGAACTGCCAGGATATTAAAAGAACTGCCAGAACTTCCAAGATACCAGAACTGTAAAAAATGTAAGAACTGACAGAACTGTCAGAACTTTGACAGTTCTCGTCTGTGACATTACGGTTGTCAAGGATATTTCATTACTTAACAAACGGATGCTGAATAATTCTCATTAAATTCAACTTAAAAGAACTATATATTTTTCGATTCAGTCTCACCGCGAATTTGTTTCAAGCTCTTTCCCTTATTTACTGATTTTTCAGAAGATTAAACGCATAAGTTTAAGTAATTAAATAGATAAACATTAGAATAATCACAAATTAAATTAAATAAAATTAAATTTAATAAACAATAAATTAAATTATTAAATATTAAATTATTTAAACAGGATAGAAATTAAAGGCCTTTTTAAGTTTAAACTTCAAGCTCGATCTGAGGGCCACTGTGAATGGAATTTGAACTTCAACATGATAATGAATTTGGAGGCAAGTTCAATTTCAAAAACTTCATTCTCTCCTGAGTTGAAAAAATTTATTATGCGCAAATAAGTTGCCTTGTAGAGGTATGAGCGTCGACGTGAAGGCGTTACAATTATATTGTTCGCAATATAATTGTAATAATAATATTACAATTATTACGCAATAATTGTATTAATATTACATATTACAATAACTGTAATATGTAATAATAATAAATAATAATATGTAATAAATAATAAATATAATTGTAATAATAATATTACAATTATTACGCAATAATTGTATTAATATTACATATTACAATAACTGTAATATGTAATAATAATAAATAATAAATAATAATAATAATAATAATAATAATAATAATAATAGTAATAATAATAATAATAATAATAATAATAATAATAATAATAATAATAATAATAAATAATAATTACAATATTACGCAATATAATTGTAATAATAGTATTACAATTATATTGTAGAATATATAATAATAATATATTACAGATGGCGCAATATAATTGTTAATTATAATATTTATATTGCGGTTTTCCGCAAGATTATTCAAAAAATAATAAATTATCTCGCGAAAATTTTTTTGACGAAAATTTATCTTTAAAAATCCCCAAAATCCTGTAAAAATCTCCTAAATCCTCTAAAAATCTCCTAAATCCTCTAAAAATCCCCTAAATCCTCTAGAAATCCCCTAAATCTTCTAAAAATCCCGTAAACCCTCTAAAAATCCCCTAAATCCTCTAAAAATCCCGTAAACCCTCTAAAAATCCCCTAAATCCTCTAAAAATCCCGTAAACCCTCTAAAAATTCCCTAAATCCTCTAAAAATCCCGTAAACCCTCTAAAAATCCCATAAATCCTCTTAAATCCCCTAAATCCTCTAAAAATCCCCCAAAAGTCTTACCCCCGAAACAATATGCTGAGCGTGTATGTCTTCACCGGCCGCGGTATCGCGCGCAAGCCTCCGCGGTATCACCGTCAATTGCCGGAGTCTTGAGTCAACACGGCGGTGACTCGTCAAACACTTCCGCCACCACTCAGCTTCCGCCCCACCGCCGCCGCCGCTACCGACCCTAATCCCGCCGCTGTACCGACGCTCCATATGCTGATTCTGTCGTTGCCAACACCGCTCCCGACGCTTCCGACGCTAAACCGACGCTCCCATAACACCCCCGACGCACTGGCCGACGCTACCGACGTCGATCCCGACGCTCCCAACGCCGCTACACCGCCGCTACCGCCGCCGCACAACGCTCCAACCACCGCTACACCGACGCTCCCACCGCCGCTCCCGCCGCTCCCGTAATTTCGACGCACACTCCCAAAAATTCAGCGTAATTCACAACACTGGAATTTCGAACATAGAAAAGTAATTTGGGCTCGGAATTGCAAACCTCGCCGCTTCGTAATTTTCTACTGAAATTGGAATCTCATAATTTAAAAAGTTGCAATAAATTTTATTTACTTGCACTGGACTGCAATAACATGGTAAAGGAGGTAAAGTGGTAACGAGTGGTAAAGGAGGGAGAACTTTTCCGGAAATGCTGTACGTCAGGGAGTGACGAAAAAAAAGAAACGTTAAAGATATTTTTAATTATTATACTATTTTAGTTAGAAAACCAAATCGTATTCTTTGCCATTAATCGCGTATAGAGCTTAAGTAATGAATTAAAAATTGCCTTCCATTTGCATGAGCAAAACTGTAAATTTTGGATTAAGAGTTGCAGACGAACAGTTTATAGCTGTTATATGTTGCCAGCAGATGTATATTAAAGTGCGTCGGAGGATTATAACCTGTATTATTATTATAGCTGCAGCTGTAGTTGATTCGGTTGTTA